TAAAAGTGATGGTTACTGTGTTTGGTGGTCTAGTGCCCATAAATTTCATCACAGATTCTTACCAAGTAGCACCAGCATTACTGCGGATACTGTGAGGAACTGGACGCAATGATGCAGAAGCTCGCGAATCTCCAGCCAGCCTTAGTCCCTCGTCCCGCTGCCCCTAAATGACAACGGTGAACTTTATACGGCACAACAGACGAACTCTAGCTATAAGATCTAGGGTTGGAAGTTTTGCATCATCCACCGTACCGTCAACAGATCTTGTGCCGATAATCTTCTACTTTTTCCTAAGCTTGAACAACTTTTGGGCAGGGAAAAAGCTCAATACCCAAGTGGCAGTACAAAAGGTATTTGAAGAGTTGTTGGCTCCTTATTTCTTCAAGAATGGCATTGTAATATTAACACTGCGCTTGCAGAAACATGGTTGCATATTTGATTGATAAAAAAGGATTTAACTTTCTCGATAATTGTTTAATAGACCATGTCCATAGTAGTCGAACGCGGAGTCGAGTATGACGAAAACAGATGACGCAGCACCATCTTCTCACCAAACTGACCATGTACGGACGTAGATACTCTTATAATTAAAACCAGAAAATCTTAATCACCTTTATTCGTAGACACGCAAGAGCTAAAATCGTAGGTCCTAATTGTAGTCATAAAACAATTTTCTTGAAATTGTGTTATTAAGACTTTATATTGCCTTGTTCTCTCTGAATTTTTACCATTTTAGTATATGTTTTTAGGTTCATGGTTTTTCCATCGTAACGCGGTAGTCGAACGTCGCTGGGTGTTAATTGACCTATTAACTTTTTCTAAGAATGTTTAACTCAATTTGATGCAAACGGATATAACAGCTTTTTTTGTTTGATAATTCACATCAACATTGTTGAATTGTTCATAAAAAGCGGAAAGAGATGTGTAGAACATTCTTTTCTTTAGGGTTGATGATCAAATTAGCTGAAGGCCCATTTTCGACATTGATCATATTTGTCAAAACACTGATAAAAGTTAATGATATTTTTCATCAATATAATCGATTCTCGATATTACTTATATACTTACTAAATGTGATAAAAGTTTTTTTTACGCCATTACAAGAACATATTTATAAGTCATACATTGCATAACTTATCCATCATTCTTAATTAGATAAGACAACCAATTAAAAATTACCACAAGAACTGCGCGAGTTTCCTTTTTGCAGTATGCCTTCGAGATTCTGTCGAGTTGAATCCCACATCATTGGTCTGTAAAAGTATAGTTTATAAGTTCAGTGAACTCCAAGGTACAATGTAATAATTGAGGAACTGAGGTAGACATACACAGATCTGCAACGAATCGAAAAGCATCAACTATTTCATGCATAGTATTTCGATAAGCCTACTTATAGTCATATTTCTTTAGATACGTAAGACAATTCTTCACCACATTCAAGACGAGTTCAAACGCTATTTAAACTCATTATGACAAAAAAAAACTAGTATAAACAAAATTTTACATACAGACAACCACTATTAGTATTGGTTAGCTGAATTGATATTAATACCAATACCCATAACTAAAACTACATCCCAACTCGATTACAAGATCACCGACCAAATTTTTTTTTGCCCTTGTAGGCAGATGAGCATACGGCACAACTGATGGTGAATGGTTACCGTCGCCCATGGACTTCAGCAATGCCAGGAGCAGAGCCAAGCCGCTGCCTACCGCTTAATACTCTCCACAAGTCTCGTTTGAAGAAGGACATGTCATAGCGCTCGGGAAACATTATATTCAGTTGTATCTATTCTCTTTGATTTTCTCGAGTCGTAGATAGATATAATCGGAATTGCTTTTATGTTTAATCTCGCGATTTCTATATTCGTCCAATATTTCGAATACATTTTTCGTTGTTTCGTTGAAAATGATTTTTCCATTCCATCCATTTTTCAGTCCATTACGTTCTTTTAGCATAATTGTTTTATTTTATTGCTTAGATTGGTGGACGAGCTCACAGCCCACCTGGTGTTATGTGGTTACTGGAGCCCATAGACATCTACAACGTAAATGCGCCACCCATCTTGAGATATAAGTTCTAAGGTCTCAGTATGGTAACAACGGCTGCTCCACCCTTTAAACCGAAACGTGGTACCTATGCGTGCGGACTCACAAGAGCTCCTACCACCAGTAAACTTCCTAACGAAGTCCCTAAACAGCAGACTTGTCTTCTCGTTACTGACATCGCCCGCATGTCATAAATATGCCGATCAAATGTAATATAGTACGTATGCTGAAGACAGAGAGTTCGCGATAACGGTACGGACGGCGCCGACGCTGTAATTTTATTGTTTTTTTAATGCATTCAACGATTGATTTAATGTTCTCTTTCGACCATCAACGTGAGTCATGCGTATTTTAATTAATTACTAAAAACCAACCAGTTTCGATTCTGAACGTTGTCGTTGCATTTGATTCTTTGAAAAGCGAATCATTAATTTATGGCGTAGGATCTGCCTCGGGCCTCTACGGGCTTATGTGAAACATATCCTCCTCCTTGCATCGGTTTCCTCATTACTGAGGGTCGTGGTCATGGCCTTGAAACAGTTTGTTTTTTATAGTGCACCGACATCTGTTCCTATCTGCAGCTGAGTGCAGAGCATCGTGCACTGTGGTATCCAGGGCTGCACGAATCTGGTCCGTCCAACGGGTCGGGTTCCTGCCTCTTGGTCGCTTGCCCTCGACCTTTCCAGTGACCACCAATTTCTCCAAGTTGTCACTGTCTTTCCTTGCGATGTGGCCAAAGTATTCAAGTATCCTTCGCATGCNGGTCCGTCCAACGGGTCGGGTTCCTGCCTCTTGGTCGCTTGCCCTCGACCTTTCCAGTGACCACCAATTTCTCCAAGTTGTCACTGTCTTTCCTTGCGATGTGGCCAAAGTATTCAAGTATCCTTCGCATGCAAATGGTGGAGAGTCTAGTCCGGATCTTCAACTGAGCTAGGATGGATACATTGGTGCGGCGTGCGGTCCAGGGAATACCCAACATCCTCCTCCAGCACCACATTTCGAAGGCATATAGGCACATCGAAACACTAAGACTCATTGAGATGACGATCGTTACAGTTATCTTAACTAGCCAGACCTTAAAATTTAACGCGAAATGACTTTTATCAACCCGTAGAGGTTCACGCGACATATGTTCTCGAAATGAGAATTAAGATCGGATATTCATTTACATTAAAACCCAATAATTCACTATTTTGACATTTTTTTTTGCTTTTACACTGTCCAGGAGAAAAATATCAAAATTGATTGATCAAAAATCGATTTATTTTTTTATTGCTTTTTTTTATTTCTTAGATGGATGGACGAGCTCACATCCCACCTAGTGTTAAATGGTTACTGGAGCCCATAGACATCTACAACGTAAATGCGCCACCCACTTTGAGATATAAGTTCTAAGATCTCAGAATCGATACAGTACAGATAATATTCTTACATATAAACAATAATTCCAACGTCAGCATAGGCGGGCCACAGATTATACGAACCGCGACCGGCGGGCGCGCTAGTTATTCGCCAATTAATCTGTTCGCATGTAATTAGGGTTGGCGGCGATAAATATCGTCTTTTTAAGAACGAACAAAATGCGTACTCCAAATATAAATAAAATTGATATTTCTCTCTGTTATTTCAAAATAAGTTTCACATTGTAATTTGCAGTATTTCTTCTTCTGCTGAGTCGTGTTTCTTCATTGCTGAAGGTCGTGTCTTGTAATTCGCAATAGACAAACAGAAATAGACTGACTATGTTATTTCTTGATTGTCTGTCTGTCTGACTGTTAGCCAAATAAGGTAAAGTCAGGTTTGTTAAATAAACATTTCACACTACAAGTGTTTCCTCGTTGGACAGATTTACAAAATGAAGGCACTTTAATTCCTATTAATCACCATAAATATATTGCAACCAAAGTTACTTTACAATTACCAGCCAATCAACAACAATTACCAAGGTTCCTTTACCAGGTATTTTGATCAATCACGTGTCTTCAGGTAATGGTCACATTTGTGCACAAGTGCGGGTTCATTCTGACAGTTTGGACTTCCATCTCATATACATAGACAACGAAACTTGAACAATCCAGTAAACTCTGAACTTATCCGCCTTGCTCATTTAAACCGTTAGAAAAGACACAAGCCCAATCAAATGACGTGCCCATACAGGCAAACGCTTTCAAATAATTAACAGTTACCACTTACCGTTTTCTAACGAAAGTTTCACTTCGACGACTGTTTACGGAAACCAGACTTCGATCTAAGGAGTTCTTTAACAGCTATATTTAATTTTGATTGCAACTGGTTCGGTGTTTATAGTCTATGGCACGAGACCGCTTCCGGGTTCCGGTCTCAAGACAAATTATGGACATAGATTGACATGAACTTGTATGAATGAGCATTCACATACTGATTACTGATTTACAAACATAATTAAGTTTAAATTAACAAATCTGCACTTGGTCTCAAAAACTTACTGGTTACTGGTGGTAGGACCTCTTGTGAGTCCGCGCAGATAGGTACCACCACCCCGCCTATTTCTGCAATGAAGCAGTAATGCGTTTCGGTTTGAAGGGGGGACCAGCCATTGTAACTATACTTGAGACCTTAGAACTTATATCTCAAGGTGGGTGGCGTATTTTCGTTGTATATGTCTATGGGCTTCAGTAACCACTTAACACCAGGTGGGCTATGAGCTCGTCCACATATCTAAGTAATAAAAAATAAAAAGTTGATTCTTGTCGAAGACATTCTGCCCTTGATACTCGGAAGTATGATTTCTGCCCTGTACTGACATTGAATCAGTTCTTAACATAGGTTCTAGGAGATGAATTACATCGAAATAAGTTTAATGAACACAAACCCTTAACTTTTGGTCAATACCCTGCGACCACACGCTCTAAGCTGACATTTGTCTTTGACATGCCAAACAAAACTGAAGCCTGTATCATTGTTCACAGGGTCGACATAAACGTAACGCTACATTTCCTGGTGGTCAAACTGCGAGCCTTCTTCAATCATCGACAACAAGAAGTAAGTACCAATATCATTACTGACAATTAGTAAGGAGCTGTAGAAAAATTCAAGTAAAACTCGTCGCCCCGCCTGTCTCGGATGAGCTCTGTCTCTTTGTTGAGTGAAAGAGGACTTTAGTCATGATTAGACCAACATATAGGTATAGGTGGAATTTTTTTTATTTTTTTATTGCTTAGATGGGTGGACGAGCTCACAGCCCACCTGGTGTTAAGTGGTTACTGGAGCCCATAGACATCTACAATGTAAATGCGCCACCCACCTTGAGATATAAGTTCTAAGGTCTCAGTATAGTTACAACGGCTACCCCACCCTTCAAACCGAAACGCATTACTGCTTCACGGCAGAAATAGGCGGGGTGGNTAGTTACAACGGCTACCCCACCCTTCAAACCGAAACGCATTACTGCTTCACGGCAGAAATAGGCGGGGTGGTGGTACCTACCCGTGCGGACTCACAAGAGGTCCTACCACCAGTGATTACGCAAATTATAATTTTGCGGGTTTGATTTTTATTACACGATGTTATTCCTTCACCGTGGAAGTCAATCGTGAACATTTGTTAAGTACGTAATATTGCTATTGCTCCCTAAATCTGATGATAAGGTTGTAAAATCATTTCCACTAATCCCTTTCTGGGACGACTTACCCGCGCAGGTGCTATGGTACAAATATCTCCTTCTTCAAATGAGGTTCGAAAATAGTCCTTGAAGTAGAAATTAACTATGCCTCTCGTGTTCCTGGCATCCATGAGTGATAGTAAACACTTACCTTCTGGTAGGCCACATGCTTTGACTGCAAACCACGTTATAATAATACTTTCATAGTAATTAGCCCTGTTTTGTTGAAACTGGAATGGCCACTGGGCTACCAGTAATCCCTCGTTCTTAAAAAGAAGTAATTAGCACGACTAACCATAATAACATTTATACAATTCCAGTACACAATCACGCACTGTCACCAGATCAATAAATCTGTAAATAGTTCTTCCGCCTACAGAATATTCAGCTGATGCATCTACGCTTCGGGATGTGGCTGAAAACTGTGCACCTAGCAGACAGAGGTACTGCTCTGGGGGTACGACGACGTGGCCGGGGCCGAGGGTGCAGCCGCCGCAGCCTGAGATCCCAAGCCTGGCCGCCGCCACTCAGCCCATTGACACCAAAGGTTGACACCAAAAATTTACTTGTGAAATTCAAAATTGATCAAACTTCCAGAATTCAATGCACCACCAATGGCTCTAGTATTTTAACAAATAGACGTAAACTTCAATAAAAAATCACGAAAAATCAAATTTCATCGCTGACAATAAAAACTTACATATATGTATGTATTATCAAAATACGGAAACATCTTGAATAGATATTAGATTCGTATCTGTTGTATTCGTTGTTATGTGATGATGATATCTGGGTTCGAACCTAACTCGGGGCTAACTTTTTTAAAAGTAAATAAAATCGTCCATACGGGTAAGCTTAACTATTATGCCCCGTCAACGCAATCGCGCGTACCAGCCGTTTTTTCTTGAGGGAGTACAAGAGTACAACCTCATATTTTAAAATGGACGCGACATCCACCTTGTATGCAACTCCTCTTAATACCTCACAGACTCTGCTGTCAACCTACCTGTAGCAATAAACGACTCGTACAGTTGATTGATATAATGTAAAGCTTAATACCTTTAATCTCCCACTCCCTCTCAATATCCTCCCTTATCTTGACCAAATCAACATGAAATCATGACGTTTTTGGAATTACTTCACTGCGATCCATTTCGGCATTTTCTCTGATACAAAACGCCTTAAAAGTCTCCACCAGATATTTAGTATTCAACACTGCTTAATGTATTTTCATATTGAGGAGTACTAATGACCGGAATTCGATCCGTTGTCCCTTAAATTTCACTAGACGATGACCGCGCTTTACTCGGTTTTTTTTTTTGATAATGCCATCTTGTTGTGACTTTAAAGCGGTTAGTTGCCCTCAATTAAGAAAAATAGTATTATTATTCGCCAATAGATGTCGGGAAGAGTTGATTATTGAAAACACGAATAAAACAACATTTTCTGAAAATAAATCGTAGCTAAATCGATTTATCGCCCCCGAAATCCCCTGTATACTGAATTTTATGAAAATCGTTGGAGCCGTTTTCGAGATTCATATTATATACATATATATTAATATACAAGAATTGCTCGTTTAAAGGTATAAGATTTATTTTTATTGACCTCGGATCGTGACACGTACCTTTTAGTTATTAATTAAGACTCAAAACTTGAGACGTGGCTATCGTTAGATTTTATTCGTTTTCGTTCCGTTTAATTAAGATTAAATGGGCGCCGTAATTATTTGGAGGCTTGTTCCTGTTTTATTATTATATTCGTCCGATGACAAGGCTGCGGTTATGAGAATGTTCTGGAATGTTCCTGAACTATCAAACTGACACTTGACACTACGTTACATTATGTATTATCATTTGAATTTTAAAAAAAGTCTTCTATAACAAATGACTTATTTGAACATGTGGATCTAAAACGTAAAAAAGTACCCTCTTCGTATATTTAATGATTTAGATGCAATTATCTGGAAAGCTGCAATAAAATGCTAGTAAAGCTGCATTTTTTTTAATACAATTGTAGTGCAAAATAAAATACAGTCGATGTTTGAGTATTATGAAATGAATGGGAATGATAACCAGGAATCTTTCTGAAGTTTTAGAAATATTTGTACATTATTTCAAGGCAATCTGATTGTGGTGCGCAAACATACAAGATACAAACAAATAACTATAATGTATCTTTATATATGTGCATATTATTAAGATTTGGGGGTAGAGACCAACAAAATTTTTTATTACTTAGATGGGTGGACGAGCTCACAGCCCACCTGATGTTAATTGGTTACTGGAGCCATAGACATTTACGATGTAAATGCGCCACCCACCTTGAGATATAAGTTCTAAGGTTTCAAGTATAGTTACAACGGCTGCCCCACCCCTCAAACCGAAACGCATTACTGCTTCTTACCGCTGCAGGGTGGTGGAACCTACCCGCGCGAACTCACAAGAAGTCCTACCTCCAGTAGGCTTTAATGTTACAAGTTGCCGGTATAAAGTATAAATATATTCTGTTTGCGTCGTAAAAACCAGACGGTAATAATACCTATTTGTTTTCTATAAATATCCCATAAACACACAAAATCAGTTCTAAAGACATTCCGTGCCTCAACAAGCCTTTCAACCACAAATTATATTGACTACCTAGTTGTTCTTCATAATAACTAAAGTACTGGGCTATAAATTATTGAGATATCCACTTACTTGTGATGAAGGAAAGGTCAGAAACTACCGCCTGGAGGCTGCACGTAATTACATTTGGCGCCAAACCGCCCACGCACCGAACTATGACAACACTAAAATTATAGTTGGCACTGGGCCATTGTGAAACGAAAAAAAAAACCTATTATTTGAATCCCACTGAATGTACAAAAGTTATGGATCGAAGCCATTTTACATTCATATTATAAAGGCTTCGATATGTTGTAATGATCTCCTTATTGGAAAAACATTTAACATTGCAAACGAAACAAAAACACGTTTAGTCCAAATTTGGCGAAATTAGTCGCAACAAATATGAAAGCTATGCGAACCTATGCTAAGGGCTCCAAGTCAGGTCTTTCTTCGCCTTCAGTTAATAACGATAACAGATAATTACAAGTCAAATAATTATAAAACAACACTAATTTCACGGTAATAACACCGCAATACAATAATAAATCAAGTTACGCTATTAATTCGTAAATTATACCCTAAATTGAAACTCGATCGCTTTCGATAATAAGACTTCACATTGCGCATGCGCATAATGACAGGTTGTAAAAATGCGCATGCGCGGAGGCGTACGACGCACTGTATTTATGCGCAGTTTGGCTTACTGCTATAGACAATTATAGACTCGTTGGTAAATCGACAATAAGAAATTATTAATAAATTGAATGATTAGTTAAATTTTTTTGTAGTAATTTAGTCAATTATCTGTTAATAAACATTGAGTAGTTGCGTAATGGATTATAGAAAATAAAAGCGAAGTACTTATAACATCATATTGTACTGTTTTTAAACATATATATCGTGCAAGGTTGATATGTGATGGAATGTACATATGCGTGACGCTTAATCAGAAAATATCCACCGAATACCAAATATAAATATTCCATAATAAAATCGGAACAGAAGCTTATTGTGTTTGTAGAACAACTCGAAAAAGAAGATGAGGTTTTATATGAGTATGTAGACTGTTTGATTGTTTAATAGATCAACAAAAATTTCAGAGCCTTTTTGGTTTTAAAAGATTATGACTAGGCTTTAGAATTAGTATGCTTAATTATAATATAAATTATTCTTGCAATAAATGTTAAGATTCCTTTTTAAGAATATTGAAATGTTTCAGTAGATCTGTTTGGCAAGGCCATGTCTAAATCCGCAGAAACTCCGTAACCAAACCGGTATTTAATTAAATACTTTACCAAACACTGTATAAATAAGTCTTGTGCACAATATTTCAACGGTTCATGCATCAGATACACAAACATGACCGGGCATCAGTTCTCACAGCCTGTGGGAAACTATTTACATTACAAATATATATACAAATAACGGTCTTATACTTGAGTGCAGGAATATTCAATTAAAATGTGTTACATCGTACATTCTGCATTTATCTACAGAACAACCTATTAAAAACGGTAGTATAAAATTGGAAATGCATTAACATTAGGTATAATATCACTAACAGGGCTGGCAGAAGTAGATCTGGTCTTAAATAAAAAAAAAATCTTCGCTGTAGCTCCACCACCGGGAAATTTTAATTTAAATCATGCAGAGCTCCACTAAAGCAACAAAAGAAATGTCAAAAACTATCCAGCCGTTAACTGACAAAACACGCACATTACGCAGAAGAATTATAAATATTCTATGAACATAATATATCTAAATTCTGAAACAGAGTTCCATAAAATACACGAATGTAATCAAGTTGATATCATTATCATGTCGGAACCCTACCGGATTTTAAATAATAAAGAATCAATGGAAATAATTTCATTTTTTAGTGTGACGTATTTATTATCTGCCGATATGAATACATATCCTACTTACTTTTGAATTATATTATCCTTAAGCCTATTCATTTTGGTAGGGCGTATTGGCTGCCCGAACGGGGTGGATCTACCAACCGTACTGCCTTGATTTTAATAATTTCCTACCTAATGGCTGGTAGTCCTGAGAAGTCATTCCAGCTTCAACGATTTTGTAGGCGAGCTCGCGGGGTTCAACTTGGAAGAACTTGCTAAGACTAATCCAAGCAAGAGAATTGCTTCAACTGAGAAGGTTTGAAGAGGAATTCAGTGGGTTGTGTCTATGGGTGATCCTTGGGGAATCCCTTTACGGATACCCGGTCGAGGGGGGTAACGGACCGGGTTATGTCGGACTCCGGCGCCTCCTGAGAGAAAGAAGGGGAGAAGAGAAGGGCCGAGGTCCTTCACCTCCCCCAATATCTCACAGGAGACTACGCCTTGAAAAAGGCGCGCGAAGCACTTGCCCCACAGAACGACTACCGACTAAACCCCATCGAGCCCCACTACTCCTACTCCACGAAACCTACGGTACCGCACAGTGCGTGATCCTGCGTTTCTGTCTCGCGCCCAACCATAAATTCCAGCTTAAAAGATGATGAACTCTGTTATGAAACTCCAATTATTATTTAATTGGTTGTAACTTCGCGCGACCCCTAGCCGCGGGGATCTCGTAGGAGGTTCAACCCCCGGCCCAGAAAAAAAAGGAGTTTACACTTTGAATGGACATTTAATTGTTTCGATTCGGCATTCGAAAATTAAATACTTGGAGTTTTCTGAAATAACAGCATACGGTACAGTACCGTAGACACAATAAGGCAGTAAATTAATTAGAATTCAGAAAACAAAACAACCGATCACACCGCGGGCACGCAATCATAAATAAATTAAAATCAATAATTCAATCCTCGTGCAATCGTGTTAAGGACGGCAAGGCCATTCATTTGTCTTTTCAGCACCCGACAAAATTAATAAGGTCTTCGTACAAGAACCGTTTTATAGATTTTATAGTCGACGTTTGGGTCTATACAATTGGT